TAATATGAATGTTTTAACCATACCTGGTTTAGCGGTAAAGTAATGGGGTTTAACGTCCACTCGACACAACTAGGTCATTTCGGGACTAACATATGGTTTAATTTTATTTCAATAATTCGCTTGCGCATAGGTGTCTTTAGCAGTGGAAACCGGAGGACCCGGAGAAAACCCACGAGGTTGGATAGGCGACCCTACTCCTTGTCACGTACAACCGGGGATTCGAAACCACGCCAGTCGACTCAATAACAGACTTTATGATACAGCGCGCGCACGCTAACCATTCAGCCATCCAACCCCCGGTTTAGCGGTAAGAACTCGATATTAATTCTATAAAGTTAAGAACAGCCATATACTTTTAATGACTACTATTAAACTGGGTTTTTAAAAATGTTCTCTGGTTTTACAACCTGCTCTGATGTTGTAAGTGCAGGAGAACCACACTACACGCAAAGAAAAACCGACAAGATAAACCTGTGGACAAGAAAATAACCCATACATTGCAAGAAATAAACAAAAAATATCAAATCAAGTGGATGGACCCGAGGGCCTGCCATAAGCGTCGACTGCGCTGTACAACCCCAGGCCGGGAATGTTACAGAAGCAATTAACGGATAAAGACCAAAGGCTGGAGACGACGCCGTTCCCGTCACCTCCATGTTGCTGGGCTACCTTCCATGGAGGGGGGTCACGGTGGCTAAGTGGGTAAGACGCTGGCTGTCTAGTCTGGAGGTCGGGTGTTCGATCCCTGCATTGGCCGAGAAAGTTCATCCAGATTATCCGGCGTGGTTTCCCCTTGTCAGTGATGCAGGACGGAGGGCCTGACAAGGACAGCTGTCTAGTCGTTGGGATGGGACGAAAAACAGAGGTCCCGTGTACTCATTGGCGTGCATTAAAAGATCGCTTGGCAGTTGGAATTCGATATAAGATTAGGTCGTAGCGCCGCTCCCCGGGCAAAATTTCCCTCATAGCACACTGTATGGCGTATGCCCGTCTTCATTAACCCAGTTTAGGAGCAGAACAGTAGGACGTTAAACCCCATTTCATTTCATTACCGTCCATGGAGTATGCAGAGGCGTCAGATTTGGTTTTTGTTTTACCACACGCACCACTGCATATTTCAGTTACCGATATAAAACCTATTTGTTTTGTAGAATGGCCATCTGTCTGGCTTAAAAATTTTAGTTTATAGGTTAAGCCAGTGTTGAGAAATGATTGATTTTAACTTAAATTAGTAAACAACCCACTTCAGTTTAAGCCCATTATTAATTGAAATAACACGTCAGATCAAAACTTTTCAAAGGTTTAACTCCTTTCAATGACATTTAAGTAACTCAAACAATCTTAAAATCCTGTAGACGTCACTGTTACCTTCCATATGGGTTTGTTGTTAGTTTAATTCGAGGTCTAAGTAGTTAACAGATATTACACAATAAAGTACATTTATAGAAGATATTACACGGGTTCTATATTGGCCAAACATTTCTACGATAAATGCTAATGGAATTCTTTGGGTGGGGGGGGGGTGCGAACAAAACATAATCTATTTATCTGAATGATCTAGGTTAAAACTAGTATGTTTTCTAATATCGTTTTTAAAAGAATATCTAATAAATAATGTTTTTTGTTAATAGGTGTATGAACAGGATTATTTTTACGAGATGACCAATCGACTGGGTATAATGTTAATTGAAGGGTTAATGTTCTGTGATGCAGTTTATCCTACCACAAAACCATTTTTAGATTCGGTTACAACTGAAGTCACCCAACAGGTACATAACCGTCGTTTCTACACTCTGTTTATCAGTCTGAGAGTGTTATTATACTAAGGAACAAAACTGATGGTATATTATTGTTAAAATGACGGGTGGTTTTGATGATGGGGGGTACAATTATCGTTAAGGATATACAGGTGATTCTCATCATGGAGGTATTTGGTTCTCGGAGAATTTCAAATGAAAGGGGACAACTTTTAGCTAGGGTAGGAATTAGGTAAGCATTTCAGTCAGAAGACGAACCCTGTGACAAAATAGCGTGCACTGCGTGTATATATACTTGTAAATCAAATTGTGGCAGATTTAAATCCATTGAAATAAGAATTTCTCTCTTTATGAAACCTAGGATCACAAGGTGATGAAAAAAACCTGGATCTCTTTTATAGACTTTATAAAGCAGAGATCTCATATTACACGGAACATCATTTAAACCACATGTAAATCCAGCACCATAAGACGAAGAAACAACATAATTTACGTATCTGAAAGTTCCATTCAAAGTATTGAGTCATTAGGAAACAATCAATAATTTTGCTTAGCCTAAATTTACCTAACACAATCATGGAATTTCACTGTTCAGTTGTGTGACATGTTCATCGCGACGATCACTATTACCTTAGTATGCGCATTTCGATATCGTTATCTAGGCACTTCGGGCTAGAGAAGAGTTTGTGTGACTCATCGCCAACTATGCATGTAAACCGAAAGTGTCCGATTGGATAACAGATTCTAACATTCTTTCACACATTTCATTCACTAAAATACATCTGCGACAACATTAATATATGAATATATTTTTTTTTTAGATTCGACGTCTAAAGAATCACCCGTCAATCATAGCTTGGGGTTTCAATGACGAGGATGAGGTTCTTATAAGTGAAAACTGGTCCGTTCCTAATAACAGTAACTTTTAGAATTTTTGAAAATTGTTTTTAAAAAGTAAACCCAAAAAAGGATTCCCAAATAATGGAAAGTATGTTACTCAAACCATGTCTATAAGGGTTACACAACGTGGATAAAGGGACAGAGATGCAAAACAAACGTTTTGTTTTGGGAAATTTCCAGATAATTGAAAAGTAGTATCTTAAACATATCTGCTCCGTGCACAACAGCAGTCACTAATGATAGCACAGTTGAAACGGTAGCTTTAACTTGAATTTCAGAAGTCGAATCTGACTATTCCCTCCTCTCAAATTCTTTTTGGATGCCCCCATTCCATACTGATACGAATTTTAATTTGTTTACAGGTTAAATTTAACTAATGTAGAAATATATAAACAAGATTATATAAAATTATTTATTGATACTATTAGACCTATTGTTGTATCTGAAGATACCACTAGACCCTGGATACCATCATCACCTAGTGATGGTATTTATACTAAAGATAATCACTGGATAGCTAATGATTGTCAGTCAGAACTTAATGGTGACGGTAGGTTATTTAAATCAGATTCTTTCTCTCTTCAACATTCGTTGAGATCACAAATCATAAAAAATTATATGGAAACATCCCCAGCGAAGACTGGATTAATGTTTTTTATTATCTGGTTTCCTTAAGTATCATCCCAACTCGACTAATTTGTACGGAATCAATCAAACCCCTCTAGATAAACTCCAGAGAATCCAAAACAGAACAGCACGACTGAAAACACCAATAATTAGTTCAGACATCGAAAGATTTACATTAGATAAAGAAAAGTGGGATTTTGAAATAACATCTTGAATAATGCAGTTCTACATTTCAGTTCATTTCTACGATTATTCCGCTGATATGTGGGATGTGAAGAGTTATCCTACACCAAGATTTGCTTCTGAATATGGTCTGATTTCATGGTGTGAATATGAAACCCTTGAAACTGTCCTAAAAGACAGTGATATGGATTTATTCTCAGATATGTGTATTCACAGGACACACCATCCCGAAGGTAAAGCTCACAGGCTATCCTATCAGGTACCGAAAGGTAGTGGTCCGTCTTATTTATAACACCTGATACCACTTGTAGGTACTAGGTGACGGATCGGTTCAACTTCAAGGGCAAATTTAGCTGTAGATGAATACGCTATACGAAAGTTGGTCAATCGAATTTCATTGTAGCACGTGCTAAAAATTTCCACTGATGTTCGTTCATTCGTTCCTTCTGGAGCTTAACGTCTGCTTTCACCCAGGGTGATATCACAGACAAGCCCTCGTGGTGTCACAATAGCCAGGCTAATCATATTAACGGAGAAACGGTTGTTTTGTATTTCGGGTTGTGCATGGCTGAAAAGAGTTTAACACTATATAAAGAATAAAAATATTTAAAACAATCATTTTCTGCTTAGTCTGATTTTATGGACGAATATGACAATTTCGACATAGATTTTTAAAATTGTTTAATAAATGTTTAATTTAGGTGGGTTGATAATATTGTACTGATTCTATATACGTAACAGGTGCACAACAAATGTATGATGAATGTAAAAGTCACATGACATTGCCAAACTCTAAAGATATTGTACAGAACTTTAAAGATATGATATACGTAACACAGGTAATAAAATAACAAGATCAAAGGCTACGTCAAAGCGACACGAGAAGCTGGGAGCCAGGGCGATTGATACAGGTTTATATCTTGACAGTGGATCTATAGTGTCGCGCCCATTGTGAATATTGTTCCTTGACTACATCTTGTTATCAAATTTATTTGTTAGTTTTAATATGGCTGGAAATCAAATAAATATGTACTAATATAAAGGTTAGACCGGAAATCAAATGAATATGTACTAATAAAAAGGGAAGTTTATGCAATTAAAGATACATTATGTAAGAGTTAACTCTGCCTATAGCAATGGTACTTGAAAATCGAGAATATTACGTTATTGCTTGTCAAAACTTCAACCATTCCTAACTTCCCCAACAATAAAGTAATTTGAATGAAATTTCAGTATATTCATTTTTCATTATATGTTTTTGAACCATTATAGCAAGTAATTTGAATGAAATTTCAGTTTATTCATTTTTCAATATCTGTTTTTGAACCATTATAGCAAGAACGAATAGCCCTTTATCTAAATCTTACATACTGCATTTTAAGCTGAAAAATAAATACCGAAACTGTGTTTTAATAATGTAACACATGTTATATAATAAAAATATGTTTAATATGTTAAAATAGATTAACCATGCTCTGATGATGAGATTTCAAACAGAACACTTTCGACGATCACAAAATAATCTGAACCTGATGGATGGAAAGGGAAACACAATGGGCGCCATTTTTTGGTTCCTAGCAGACGTATGGCAAGCTCCAACATGGTCGTCAATAGGTATTATATACTTCAAATTTATGACTGTTTTTAACTTTCCAATCGCATGTTTGTTATGAATGGCATTTCAGTTTGCTTTTATTTTACTGACATATTTCTTACATTCGTAGATTATAATCTCAAATGGAAGATGCTGCATTATTATGCTAAACGTTTCTTTAGTCCTACCATAATATCTCCATATCTGGAAGGAGAAAATCTGCACATATATATTGTAAATGACGAATTGCCGTCCATTGAAGAAAGACACTCCACTACAAACCGGTTACAGTTCAGACCAATGACGCCATTAGAAATAGATGAGAAATTTCCAAGTAACCATAAAGAAGACAAATTGAGGAAAACAGAACAGGCTATACATGGTACTGTTATAATGGAGATGTATAACTGGGGCACATTTACACCACTTAAAACATGGAATATTTCCTTCAAGGTAGTTAATATAACTGGCACATGTAGACCAATGAAATTAACCCCCGTCAAGATTGTAGTGAAACATTGGGGCCATTAGAGGATGAACCCTATCAATCTTCAGCGTTCCGCGAATTCATATTCAAGAGGTACCCACCGCCCCTCCCGAGAACCTTGTTGACGTAATAGAGTCTTGACGGATTTTTTTTTTTAAAATTAGGTGTGAAGCATTAGTGGAATGGGGCGAATGCGTTCTGCGACCGTCCGTTACGGAATTACTCAAGCAACCCTTTTCGAAAACATTGTTAACGCAATAGAGGTTCAATTTGTAATTATTTTCTTTCAAATGTGGCGACGAACCCTATGGATATCTCACCGGAATTCCATAGAATTGTGTCACACGTCTTCTCTGCATACTGGCCTATAAGATATATGGCGTGAAGAAATCTAAGGTTGGAGAATTCATATTTGACAGGCGATTCCGAATATTATCAAAGCTTAAGTGAATAAAGTGTTTGTTTTGTCTGTTTTGCCAACATCAGCATAGCTTACATTATTTCTAATAGTAGGCAATTTATACGTATTATTACGCCCACTGGCTTATCAAATTTTCTTCCAAAAAATACCTTCTTCTATTTTTCAGTTAAACCACACTACAGGCTCGGTTTTTCAGAGACCCATAAATGAAGTTCAGTCTGACGCTGGTTGCGTACATAATAAAAGTTGTTTTCTTTATTTTTATCTCAACTCTAAATCTAATCCAACCAGTACATCATGGCTGCCATTAACATATTTTACAGATACTCAAGGTTTTATACCAAAAGCTAATATACAGGTAAAATATTTACTGTTATTATATATTATAAAGCTAAAATACAGGAAAATATTTACTGTTTATACAGGTAAAATATTTACTGTTATTATAAAGCTAATACACAGGTAAAATATTTACTGTTATTATAAAACTAAAATACAGGTAAAATATTTACTGTTATTATAAAGCTACACTACAGGTAGAATATCTACTATTATTATAAAGCTAAAATACTGGTATTATATATTTTATATTATTATAAAGCTAATATACAGGTAAAATATTTACTGTTATTAAAAAATTAAAATACAGCTTAAATATTTACTGTTATTATGTACTATTATTATAACGCTAAAATACAGGTAGAATATTTACTATTATTATAAAGCTAATATACAAGTAAAATATTTACTATTATTGCAAGGCTAATATACAGGTGAAATATTTTCTATTATTATAAAGCTAATATACAGGTAGAATGTTTACTATTATTATAAAGCTAAAATACAGGTACTGATCTGGTAAAATGCATGTTGGCCTATTATCTGGAATATATAGCAGTCGTTGGCAGGTGGTCTTCAGTTACAATCATGACTGATTTTGGGGTGAATTTCACTACGCCGAATACCTAAACAAGCATAATATTGGGAACTAGTAATAATATAAAATATTTCTTTTATTTCTTGGTGTTACTGGTTGACATCCGAAAAAAATCTATCATTTTGTATTTACAGATTAAAAATGTGATCGCTACTTCAGCAACCAAATTTACACTCACCTTGGCAACGAATAATATCGCACCATTTGTATGGATAAATGCCTATAACATATCAGGAAGATTCTCAGATAATGGTTTTATTATGAAAGATCCTGCACTACATTTAACTTTTACTGCTTGGCAACCAGTAGATTTAGATACATTCAAAAAATCTTTAACTGTTAAATCTTTAATGGACATTTATAATTAAAGATAATATATTTTCTCTCAAACATAATATACATGTAGACTTTTCATTTCATTATTTGTTTAAAATTAAAATCACTGTATATTCCATAAGACTTCTCAATCTTATGTGAATGGCCTACTGTATGTCAGCCATGGATCGACAAAACCCCCCAATGTGCATTAGTTGTGTCGTAATGGAATTATGTACTGTTTCGCACAACGCTTTATACTCTCGTGTAAATAATACATTAGCATTTGATTTTTTCTTACCTTGTCTATGAACAATATCACCCGGGTAATAGGGACCTTATATCCAAGAGCTTTTGGGCTAGAGCTTTGATCACTGTCAATTAAAAATTGGAAGAGACGACCGAAAAGATCGTACATCACCTTAATATGGCACTCAAGTGCCGTAACGGACCACTTTCTTTCCAATGGATTTAAAGACTGTCCCAAATTATAAATTGCCCACTCCTATACAAAGCCCCAGCTGTCGAAATGAATGAGTTTTTACTCGTATTAAAGTAAGTATATGACGTAATTATGCTTCTTTAACACCAAACCCTTTCTGAAATTCCTCCGGCCAAGTAAATTCAACATGTTTATAATAAATCCGTTTCGGTGGACATGTACACTAGCCCTTGAGTTTAGTGCAATAAAATTTTCTATATGATTAAAATAAAAGATATCTGTGTGTATGTAAGTATGAGTGTTCGCCCATCACTCTTCGTCGCCGCGATCCACCCCCACATGTGGTATCAAATTAACCAGTATGACCCCGTGACAGACTCACCCTACCTGCAGAGAAGTGACTCTGACACAGTGAATAGCCATGATATCCATATGACGTTATCTAAACGTCACAGGTCAGGAGGTCACATCAACAAACAAAATGTAAACACCGTCATTATGATCATTATCAACATTACAAGACACAATGTTACATTGTAAACAATAGCCTTCTTGCAGCCTTTAGGACTGTATAATCCGTACAGAACGTCTTATCGCTTCTTCCAATGATTTTTCACAAAAATAACATCATCTACAACTCTAGATTTGACGTCGGAATATTGGCAGTATTTTGTGCTTCGGTCGTGTCTATTTCAGATATACACAATCAATTCTGTTAATGTTTTTAGCGTGGGGATTGACTAAAAGTTAATTTATTTCAGTTCTAAACAAAAATTTAAAACTTTAACGCAATTTTAAAAAAATAGCCAAATTCTGGCTGGGATTATAGAGCAAAATGGCCATTCACTGTATACGTGCGAAAAAAAAGCCAGCTGCCATTTAATTTTCGTACGTTAGTTACGTACGCCCCACATTATGTGGTATCAAATTAACCAGCATGACCCCGTGTATGTTTTAGGCCATCGAATTTGGGCGAAGTTGGGCACCGGGCAAAGCCGTGTATCCTGCCAGTATATACTAAACCAGATTGTGAGGTTTGAGCTTAAAGTAATGCAGAGAGAAAGTATCCATCTAAATAAGTGACTTCAAAGTAACATAATATTTGTTTGAAGTCCATCAAATGTAAAAATCATTTACAAACCAATCAACCCTCCGTTAATATTTGTCTAGAAAATAATAGTCAATAACGAAACATTTTATTCAATCTGGGATAATCTATATATCTTATCTTATAATGCAATAGCCCAAGTAATTGTTTAACATTACATCATGGCGTATTTCTCAAATCCGTTATCTACTGATAGTGACGGTGGTATGTGATATACATATTGCGAAATACACCTTAATCATGGGTGTAATAGCTGGCTTTGCTTCCAAATAAAAGCTTTATCAAGATATAACACACATAAATATGACAAAGATACGAACATAAAGTAAGGTGAGTTGCCGTTTTATTATAATTATTGTCATCTTTTGGAACCTGTGTCATTCAGATCTGAGACATGACAGACAGTGGTGTATGCTGGATTCCTAAAAGGCAGAGGTGACAGGGCACCACCCAAATACGTCACTGACCAGAGGAATCTATTTACATGTTTTCATTGCCCAAAAGGGGTGGGGAGGTGGGTGTTCTGAATGCACGTCACATAATAAGGTCTGTCATTGAGTCAAGTGACGTGGTTTCGATTCCCCGCTTGTACGTGACAAGGAATTGGGTCGCCTGTCCAACCTCGCGGCTTTTCTCCTGTCAAAGACACCTACGCGCAACCGAATTAATGATATAAATCGAACAATAATAATAATAATAATAATAAAATTGAACCATATGTTAGTCCGAAATGACCTAGTTTGTGTCGAGTGGACGTTAAACCCAATTACTTTCTCCCTCTCTCTCTCTCTTACCTCGTTCGGTTATATCTGTTGTGTTTTGCAGCTTGGCGAATATGAATAGGTTGACATCATCAAAGTTTCTCAACTGCTTCAAATGTCCGTTTATTATTTACCTAAATATGGGTTTCACTTAAAGTAGTTAAGTCTTTAACTCATTATCATCCAAAGTCTTCGGCAATGAAAACACGAATTATTTGTCAATTTGAATTAACATTAATGTTTACCATTGGTACACGAATAGTAAACTTTCCTCTGAGTTGCCTATAGATGTAAGTATTGCAGGCACAGTGGTTCCACTGCGAGGAGTCCTATAGGCAAGAACGCTTTTTTTTATTTTTCATTTTTTTTTTGTACTTTACTAACACTTAACCCAGCCCCGCTCTCTAGTTGGCAATATTAATAAATCGAACTGCAAAATGACATTATGAACGTCTGCTCAAGACGTTATGATGATGCGTTGAGTTTGTTCTGATCGTTATTGATTGGTGTAAGACATTCATGCAATATACCCGGAAGAAAGGGGTTGATAACTCTTAACAAATGCTACGATCCGTTTTATTCTGCCTTTAGAGGTAAGGAGATGACGTCATCTGATATGTAAGCGGGCTTCATGAACTACTCGTGCCCTTTTACGTGTGCTGTTCTCCAGTGTTTAAGACCAAGTGATGTTATGTAGTCAAGACACTTCCCTCTTCCGGCAAGGGCCGGTAATTCAGCGAATAGTATACTAGTATGCGTTTCAGCGCCATGTGTAACAAGGAACTCGAAGAACGGGGCTAGACATATTCCACAAGTCATGTTGAACGGTGACGCTATATTCTTATCAGGAGAGCATGCGCAATAAATATTACCGGTGTAGACAGGAATAGCCAGACGCTAGAGAGTGACTTCTCGCGTACTTTGCCGAACATAACTGATTTAAAATTAGAGTAAAAACGGAAACGATTGAATGTGAATCAGTTTACATACATTCATATTACATTATTATATGCGTTGCGACCCATTTGTGTCAATTTCTAGGTCCCTAATATTAGCGATTTAGTTCCTTTAAGGTAGTTGTCTATTTCACCAATCAATATATTTCATTTTGAAAATTAATTAATTCTTCGATTCTCAAGAATATCCATTAATTGCAGAACCCTGCAAATCGACAGTTATCATATGTTTATGAACTTTGGTAGGTGTTCATAGCATTTAGACGGGGTCACGTGGCTAAGTGGGTCGGCCGACAAAGTTCATCCAGATTGTCCGGCGTGATTCCGCCTTGTCAGTGATGTAGGACGGAGGGCCTGACAAGGACAGCTGTCTAGTCATTTGGGTGATACGAAAAACCGAGGTTCCGTGTATATATTGGAATGTACGTAAAAGATCCCCTGACAGTAGGAATTCGATATAAGAGTAGGCGATAGTGCCGCTGTCCGGGCAAAATTTCCCTCATAGCACATTGTATGGCGTATGCCCGTCTTCATTAGCCCAGTATAGGAGCAGAACAGTAGGACGTTAAACCCCATTTCATTTCATTTCATAGCATTTAGTTCTATGATAGCATGTCCAAAGTCAACAAAACAATTACAAAATGATTAGGAAGTATAGATTAAGTAATATTGTGAAATTTAAACCCGTGAAAGCCACGCGTTGGGGTTGTTGACCCTTGAACGTGCTATGTATGTGAGATTGTAACGAATATTAGAAATATTAACAGATAGTTAAAAGACAGATAGTTATTTTAGTATTTAACTATAAATCATCGCCCACCTTTACAGTCAGT